CCTTGGGGTTCAGGGGGGCCTCAGTGAGCAGGGTTGGGTGCTCCTCGGGGGCCACTCTCAGCTCGTTGTAGAAGGTGTGATGCCAGATCTTCTCCATGTCGTCCCAGTTGGTGATGATACCGTGCTCAATGGGGTACTTCAGAGTCAGGATACCCCTCTTGCTCTGAGCCTCATCGCCGACGTAGGAGTCCTTCTGACCCATACCGACCATGACACCCTGAAGGAGGAAAGAGCACATGAAGAGTTAAGTCATGAGGTGACGTTTTTAACAGTGTATCCTTTACTGTCAAAAACACGGACAATCACTACTATAGGACCTGTGATAAAATATAACGTAATTGCCTTCTAGCAACAATTTCGATGCCTCTCTAAATTCGATTCGCTCTCTAAATAATAGCAATATATTAGCGATGGTTATTTGCCTGTTTTTGATAAAAATATATATTTTTAGTTTGTTATTAGCCTATTTGAGACTGAATAGAATAAAGATGTATAGGTTCTTGCTTTTCTCCCCCCAAATTCAAATTAATTTACTTTCTAATCCATTGTTGTGCGTGTCTGTCCGCCGCTTACCTGGTGACGGGGGCGGCCGACGATGGAGGGGAACACGGCCCTGGGGGCATCGTCTCCGGCGAAGCCAGCCTTCACAAGGCCAGAGCCGTTGTCGCACACAAGGGCGGTAGTCTCATCGTCGTCACACATGTTGGCTTCTAGGAAAAATAATGGAGGGAAATATTTACATCAAGTCACACATCTATTTTGTAAAATTCTTGGTCTAAGCTCTAAAAACGCCCACTAACTCGCCAACTATCATCCTCTTGTTTGTTTGTATTTATTTCTCTCAAATAAATCACATTTTCCTGCTAGAATCTTGTCGTGGCACAGTGACAACACTTTTACGCATGACGCATGGCGCACTAGTGGATCATGGACCAGCTGGATTCTCTTGTTTAGCATTTAGTCATACACATAACCAAAATCAAAGCATAATTCAAACATAATGTGTTATTATTTTTGTTTCACATATATCTGGTCCTTCAACCCTAACAGATTAAGTCTTAAACTTCAATATCAACCAATTAACGCATCCTTTTCTTCAAGATCTACTTTTGCTGAGAACGCTGAAAGCACAGTTTTTCTTTTAGTCTTCTAAAGTATCAAAGTATTGAAAATACTCTTCCATAGATTTTCATGCTAACCAATAAGTTCTATGGTAGCTTCTTCTAAAATCTGTTGCCCATCGTCTGGAGGTGTCCACTAGCCCGTCTGAAGCTTTGCAGTCCCCCATAGTTTTGCTTCTTCTTTCCCGTATAGCCCCGCTACTGCTCTAGCTCAAGGCCTAAACTGACCCGGGCGTTTGTCTTCAGAGGAGACCGGTCCTTTGGCTCTTACCTTAGGTGTGTGTCTGCGGCTCGGAGAGAAAGACCCAACCAGTGCTGCTGCTGAACCAGCTACCGTCCTGGCTGCTGCTCTTGCCCCTTATATACTCAAGCTGCACCATTGACAACACTGGGCCCTGGCCCCCATCCCGGCCCTCTGCCATATTAGGAACTGGCCGGTCGAGGTGGGCAAGGAGGCGCGCCCCTCGGAAGGAAGCAGGGAGCCCTATCCATCAAGCTTCAGAGGGGGATCAGAGGTGCGTCCGCGCGCGCCCGTCGAGGAGAGAGCGCGTGCCATATATGGCACTGTCGCTTTGACCTCCCCTCGAGCCTCGCGATGCCACCTCGAGAGCCGTATAAGGATTGCACGGTCGGCTGGGGGTTTCTAGGGGAGACACCAGTTGCCACCAAGCAGGGTGATAGTTTTGGTGCTAGAAGGCCATATCCCACCTTAAAACGAGAAGTTGCTGTTTCAACTGATTTAGATTTAGTGTACTGACAGGTGCTGCGACCACAATTAACACATGAGGCAAATGCATTGGCCCACGATAAACTAAGGTTTTGATTAATAAGATGCAGTCACGTCCAATTACAAAGGCCTACCTGAACTGTTGCAGACAAATAAATGTAGAATATTATTAACAGCAATGTTGCCAAATTTGGTAACAACATGGACATTGCAGTTTCCAGATATATTATATAAGTAACATTTTGTGTGGAATTCGGGAGTTAAATTGGAGGGAGTTAAATATTGTCTTAATAGTGTACTTTCAAATGCAAAACGTTGTGCATTTTATTATTAAAATAACATTGTAATTGTAGCCTTATAAAAACACACTCTCTAACTTAATTTCAAATGTAACCTGACATGAAGTTACTTTTGAAAATAACTTAGAGAATGTGCTTGGAACCAATTAAAAAAGTAACTTTAAGAAATACTTTGAAATCACCAGTCTTAAACTCGTGGTTTATGAGGCATGTTTTTTTTCTTCTTGTAGACACATGCCCCTCTGCTGAATAAATAAGGGAAGACGCTTAGAAACAGCCAACAGCTGACACCTTATCTGCAGGGGTACTCTGCTCTGTCACAGGAGCAGTTGGATTAATTATAACTCAGAAGGAGGAGGGAGAGAAGAAGCATGGCAGCTCTGCACATGGAGGACTGGGGAATGAATGCATGGGTTGGGCCTGACTGCCTGAGGCACTCTGATGAGATAATCGAAAGAGCAATAATGAATGAATGGCACAAATGTATGAAACTGGGAACATATGCTTTGGAAAGGGTAGGGGAAAATAACAGCATCACAGTACTTTTGTTTATCAATAACAATAATGGGTTTCAGCTTCTTGATATCTTGAGGACTTTTGCCCATCCCAAAAATATAATACTTTATTTGAATTGGTAAAATATGACAGCAGTGCTAGGGTTTTATCACTCTAGAAGATATGGATAGCCGACTGTTTGGATGATCACAGGTTTTACAACTGTCAAAGGAGCACTTAGGTGACACATGAAGACAACTGGAATTCCTCAAGACATGTGTTACAAATGTCACTGACACATCAGTGTAATCAACCAACACATCAGGTTTATTTAAGAGTTTATATTTTTTTGATTGACTGCTATAATGAATGACATTTGTCCTGAAAACACTGTTATCCACTCTTTTTCACATGGCAAGATGTGCATAGCCCTAAGATTAAGCATGAATATGTACTATCAGTTGAAGATTTATGCTTACTGGGAAAGTGCTAAAAGCCAGTGTTATAAATTATGTACTGTACTTATTCAAATTGAACAGTTTTAATTGGAAGTAAACAATTAATGCATGCATTAATAACTATTATAGCTGATTGACAGTATTGGTCTAATATTGGCGCTATAGTGAGAGGGAGGCATGGCTATGCGCTTGTGGGGGGTGGTGGAGGGAGGCAGCAAGGTTGAGCTACTTTTATGCACTTGTTGTGAGCCTCTTTGGATCCCAGGCCTGTCAAACACCTAAAATGTAAATGGGACCATTGCAGTTGTCGGGAGTAGGAAGAGAAAGAGCAGGAGGGTAGGTCAGAGAGGGCAAGGGGGAGGAGAGAGCAGAGGGAGGAGGGTAGGGCATGTGAAGCAGGTGGCACCACAAATCTATGTTGTACTGTATAGTGTCGGGACTGTACCGCAGATAGCTCTTCAGACTTTAGGAGCCTTTTTAATATCTTTGCAGGGTTTTGAGAATGTAGCATATGCGCCTCACCAGGTAATATACCTTTTTGTATAAGTCTTGAAGTAGAAAGAAATAATACATTGCTTGAGGTTCAGTGTTGTAGTCACTGGAGATAATGAATTACAGTTTCTGCATTCAACATTTTTCCACTGGATTTTGTTTATGCTGGAAAGAAGACAGCAATTCTTAATCCAAGGAATGATGTCATCAAATATGCAGTGAACTTGTCTTCATCAAAGCTGAAGGAGGGTCAAGGAGATAAATGTATTACATGATTAGCAGAACGTAAATACTCAATTTCAATTGTGTTCAAGGGACTGTTTTGCACATATTTCAACAACTAAGATATGTGCCAAATTTTCTTAAGAGCAGTGTTCATACTGAAATTAGTAGAAGCCAAGTCAGCAGAAGAAACTGAAATATTGTGTTTTCTGACTGTATGATTGTTATGAATAATACATGTCCACAATGACAATGAAAAAAAAAAAATCATTACTTAAAAAAAAAAAAAAAAAAGAATACAGTTAAAAGGAAAGATATCAATAACAATAATTAGACTGGCTGACCTTTTGGCTTTATTGTTTTGTGGATGTGTTAAAGAAAAATCATCAAACTGTAGAAATAAATTCTTTGAAATGATCAACATAGGAGGACTGTAATGTCCATTGAAACATATATATTAAATTCGCTTAAAGGTCATATGGGGGCACTATCACAAATCCTCAAATAGCATGGCTGCATAGACTGTGGAGCAAACCTAAAAATAGGTATGAATTCAGACAGTGGAAGAGCACTGCTGGCAGTAACAACAGCACAACCTGCTGGCAGTCGGATACATTGGATCTAATCCCACTACAGTAGTCTAAATTTAAAGGCAAATTCACCACATGGAAAAAGTACCGATTGAACACACTTTTAAACACTAAACTCTGCTATTTTTTATTATTAATTAATTTGCAGGCTGCATTTATACAGACATACATATTGAGATTCTTCTTTATTGACTACATTAAATAGTTTGAATAGAAAAAGCACCTTTAAACATTTTTAAAATGGATTAATTGTGGTTCACAATTTATTGTTCCAGTGTCAAAGAGGAAAGAGAGAGTACACTTTAAAGGTTTTCTTCTCGGGTTTATAGGGTTTAAATTAACTTCTTATTTTATTTTAAGCCTTTTTTAATTTAAATAAAAAACATAATCCCCAATAAAAATAAACCTGTTGGGAAAATTATCAGCACCACTTAAACTGTTTATTAACTCACAGATTGTAAATGATTTTGACCTGCATTTCTACTCTTCTTAGTAAGAGTAAAAAAACACAGGACTATCTAATAAACATGTCATTGTTCTTTAGCATGGATACTTTCTCATAAATATGCCTGTACATATAAATCTGTGATATACTGTATTCAAGCATATTATCAAAATAGTGTTTAGTCCTGTTTAACACAACTGAATAATAAACCATAGCTGCTTGAGTTACATTATCTACATATCTAAAAACGCTCAAAACAGTGCAAGTTTTAACATCACAAATATATAGGCATCATTATATACTTTATAAATTAAGAAAATAGTATTTCAATCATGTGTTCACTAATGGCACATACAGTGACTTTACTTCACGCCTTGAGTTTTAAAATTGTCAACACTTACGAATCCTAATTTGAAACCACAATAGACTGTTTCTATGCGTATTGTGTTTTCCAACTAATGCTACAATCTCCAGTAGTCAAAGTTTGTCCACGGTAGTTTTAAAGCTAGTTTTTGTTTGTTAACAGATGTTATTTGTCATGTAAAAGGTGGCACCACATAGGAGCATCATAAATACATGTTTTGTATTGAGACTCTTAACTCAGGGCTCGTTTCTGCTCTTTTTGTAAAAACGCTTGCTTCTCCATCAGTCTCCTGAACAGTCCCTCCCTGTTACTGAGCAGCTCTGTGTGCTGGCCGACCTCTGCAATACGCTGCTGGTCCAGAACAGCTACAGCATTAGCACTTTGAATAGTGGAGAGGCGATGTGCAATGATCAAGACAGTTCTTCCTGTGAAATACAAATAGCATTATAGTATTATACAGTCTGTGATTGTAGACCAAAAAATAATGTCAATGAAACATAAAAGTGAGATCAGAATCAGAATAAACAGGAAGCAGTTTTACCTTCCATCAAACGCTCCAAGGCCTCCTGAACTAAGAACTCATTTTCTGTATCTAAAGCACTAAGGACAGGGCAAAAGACTTCAGTAACACTATAACAGAATAACAAAACTGCAAAGATGAACTGTATTGACATCTCACCTTGTAGCTTCATCTAACAATAAGATCTTGGGATTCTGGGTAAAGAAGGAAAAGACGTTAAAATTCAACTTATATGAAAGAAAATAAAAATGGTTAAAGTAATTGGATTTTTGTGGTGAAGGTTTAAAATATAATACAACACACGAATACTTACCTTAAGCAGTGCTCGGGCTATAGCTATTCTCTGCTTCTGTCCACCTAAAAAGTGAAAATACTGACACATTAAAACACATATCTGTATAGTACATTGAATACCACATTACAGTTAAAAACTTTAACAGTAAAACTATGTGACTGTCTCTTACCTGACAACAATATTCCTTTCTCTCCCACTACGGTGTCAAAACCATTTGGAAAGGCCTGGATGAAATCATATGCGTTTGCTGCTCTGGCCACTTGATAGATTTCTTCTGTTGTTACAGCGCTTGGCTCCGAAGCACCGTATGTTATGTTGTCTCTGATTGAGCAAGAGAACAGCACAGGCTCCTGAGGAATAAACAGAATTGGAAAAAATGTATTTAAAAACAAACCATACAAAAACTAGACTAAAGATTGAACGATGAGAGACCATTGTTACCTGGCTTACTGTTCCTATGTTACTCCGTAGCCAGTAGGGGTTGAGATCTCTGATGTCATGGCCATCTAGTGTAACAACCCCTGGAAAGAAATTAATTGTACACTGAGGTACACTTAGAAAGCTGGAGGGTGTAACATTGCTACTAACCATTTTGCCACTAGGCCACCACAAATTAGATGAATAGTCAATGGTGAAGTTGTTCTCAGTTTTGTTATTTAAGTACAGATATTGGAGCAGACACATACTCAAGAAAAGTAAAAGTATCACATGAAAAAATCTACTGAAATAAAAGTATCAAAGTACCCGTTTAAAAATGCACTGAAAGAGCAAAAATGAAAAGTATTTTGTGCACATTTTGAGGTCTTATAGGGCTTCAAAATTGTTCATTCTGATAGATTTGTGCTGAATTTGTTCAGTAGAAACAACTGAATCTATTGTGTTTTTCTTTCTGTTTCTATCTATATATTTTTGTTTGCTCAGATTATAAACGTGTTAAAATAAACCTCTCAGCATTTTTAGCAGGTCTCAAACAGTAATGAAATACTTTTACTTTTCTGTCCAGTTAAAAATGTAGTGGAGTAGAAAGTAGAGATACCTCCTCCCAAATATAGTGAAGTAAAAGTAAAAAGTATCCACTGTAAAATGTATTTAAGTAACATTTTTAGGTGTCTGTACTTTGCAAGTAAGACGGTGTGCGGGATTTTTCTGTAGGTGTCTGTACTTTACCTTTGTACCTTCCACCACTGTTAATAGTATCATGTAGCGACGTCCTTTACAGCAGTAAGAGTTTTCTATATGGTGCTTGGATTAAAACTTCTATGCTGGTGTCACTCTGTCAAATGAGTGTGATGTACCCCAGCTCTATTAAACCGTAATAGAGGATTTATAACAAGACACATCTCACCAGCATCAGGATCATATAGCCTGAGGAGCAGTGAGACCAGGGTGGATTTTCCCGAGCCACTTGGCCCCACAACAGCCATGACAGAGCCTGCAGGGACCAGCAGACTAAGGTTCTGGAAGATTGGCGCTTCCTTTCGCGTGGGATAAGCAAAAGTGATATTTGAAAACTCCAGACGGCCCTTCATCTTATGTTCATCCAGGACTAGGCCTTCTGTGGATAAAAAGAGATTTGCCATTTAGACCATGGATTCTAAATGTAAACATAGAAAAAATCTGCACCTTCTTTAGCCAAAGAGAAATGAGAAATAATATAGGAAGTTAGTTTAAAATGGCATGTGTGTGGTATGTGTATTAACTGCTCAAAGTGCTTAAATTGCTGCTTCAAAATAAAGAACTAGTAAACCACCCCTATCAGCCAAGCTTTTTTGGTTCTTAGCGTCTGGGGAGTTACAAAATTTAAATAAAAAATAAATAAATAATAAATACAAGTTAAACTGAACCATTTAAAGGAAGTTCCGGGGTCTTGTCCAGCAGTTGCCAGAGTCTTGCCCCTGCTCCAAAACCCTTCATCAGTTCAGAGTAGAAAGTGCTGAGGCCTAAAAAACAGACAGGGTCAAATAATCACTGGACCTCAGTATTGTGAAATCCATTACCATACCATATTACAATAATATGTCCATCACCTGCAACACTAATGCCGACCCAAAACGTATACATGAGGAAAGAGGAGAGCTCCCCCACCGTCATGTGTTGACTGGCCATCAAAAGTCCTCCTTTATAAAGCACGGACAAGATCATGATGTTTCCACTGAGGCCAGTCTGAAACACATGCACACACAGTTTCCTTATTTAGACCAAATCCTTGTCAGTAGAATAGTAAAGGTAATTTTTATTTATTTATTTATTTATTTTTTAGTAAATAATTAAAATCAAAATAAAATTTAAGATTAATCAAGATCTACATTCTACAACATTCTACAACTAGATTGACTTTATGATACCATGTGAAATTCGATAACATTCACACAGACTGCAGACTTGGCCATCTAGAAGTTGAGTTTTGCATTAAATCTTTTTATAAAATAGGCTATGTGACAGGCTTACCACCCCAAAGAAGCCAGCTCTGAGCACTGCCTCCTTCTTGGCCAAACTGAGAACACGGTCAGTTTTCTGGGAGTATGTGACGACCTCTGAAAGCTCTTTACCAAACGCTCGAACTGTTCTGATGTTGCTGATTCTCTCCTCTGCCAACTTCAAACACACACACACTGTAATTACTTTATTTTGTAGTTAAGACTAGAGCCAAAATATCGATCTTGCAATAAAGCATTTTATATACACTTAATATAAAACGCTAAAAAAGGCAGACTTTATTCCCTATTAATTCATACTTCTGCCTTGTTTTGGTCTTGGATCAGTATTTTATTTTTATCTTGACTGGTAAATTAAGACATGTACATTTTATTTTAAATGGACAAAACATATCAAATATAAAAGGGGTACATTAAGATATCCCAATATCATTCCTGTAATATAAAATGTAATAATCAAAAATAGTACATATTTTCCATATCGTGCAGCCCTAGTTATTACTGTAATAAGCAAACAAACAGCTCCATCTGCTCTTTTGATCAAATCACACACTGGGACCAGCTGCTTTTCTATAATTATCATAAACAGGAAACAGTCATTGTAGTGTCTAATCAGTTCTGTTGAGCCAGTACATTATCCTTAGATGAAGCAATACTGAAACTGCATATTCTCTTTGTAATTAATATATTAAAGGAACTGTAGTAGAACTGTAGTAGAACTGTAGTGATTTTAAATTTCATAAACTTGACCTATCCCCATTATAAAATATGAGATTAACATGTTCAAACTCAAATATAGCTTTTACTAATAAGAATAAATCAGCATTTATACAATTATACAACACAATATAATTACAAAATCATTAGACATAATGCCCCACTTATTAATGTTATAATTTGGTGTTTTGGTGCTCAAGACAACTGTCAGAAAGCAGAATGAGTCTCCCATGAGTCTCCTATTTGGGTTGTCAATGGATTTCAATGATGAAATCCTGTTTAACAAACATATTACAATAAATCTGGTACCTGTGTGGCCTGCGCTAGTGCATCCTGTGTTTTTTTGGAGATTGAGCGAAGATATCTGCCATAAATGACTGCAAGGACTGCCACCGGAGGGACGATCAGCAACACAAAGCTTGTGAGACTTGGAGACACATAGAACTGAAAGAAAACATCATCATTATACATAAAATAACACTTTATAATCAGAGTTGCATCACTTACATCACATGCAAGCAAAGGGCAAGCAAAATCAAATCAAGCAATTGGACAAGTCTACTGAATATTTTTATCGTATTCAGCTCTCCCACAGGATGATGGGTGTCACATTATTTGAGAAAATGAAAACCTTCTGTCCCTAAACACACACATTTCATATCTTTATATCCATGTTTATCATCTTGGGGAATATGCGTTTTCTTTTTTTTGGGTAGTATAGTGTACAATAAGGAAGAGTGAGATATTCCTTTAAAGGCTTCCTTCCTTGTCAGACATTTACACCACCTTTACAAATCACAATGTAGGGTTGAGTAATCCTCGTGTTACATCATTACTGTTGCTGGTAGTTCCTTGTGTGAATGAAATGTACCTGTTTTTTCACACTCTTTACATGATAAGAGAAAATACCTCATATTTTATCTATTAAACATAAGACTCAATATTATATGACTCTTGTGACATTGAAAGTAGCGTAAGATGGGCCCTTTAATAACTAATAAATGAATAAGAATATATTGTGCTCACCATCATACTGACACCTGCAGCTGCTTGAGCAACGGCCCTCAAGCCGTCAGACAAGTTGTCCGTGATTGAACGGCCAACCACAGCAGTGTCAGCAGAGAGGCGGTTGATAAGCTCCCCAGTCCTATTCCTGTCAAAAAAGGCCACTTCCTGCCTCAGAATGGAGGAGAAGACTGAGTCGCGGAGATTACGTACAATCTGCTGGCCTGTGGAGATAAGTATTAATGAATCATATGTTTGAATTTGTGGTTGTGGTAAAGTATTGTTAACAAGTTAAATAAAAAATAAAACTATTAATGGAAAAGTTGTGATAAAAGATGATTTTTAGATGGTTCAATAATAATGTCAAACACAAATTAAAGGTAGTGTTGTTATTTTTACTTCCATAGACTTATTTTTCTAATAATAATTTTGACTGCTAACTCACCAGAAGTCTGCATGAGGTACACTCGGGCAGCATTAGCGGCTCCACCACAGAGAAACACCCCAGTGAGCATGAGACATAGTGATGTGAGCGATGCTGCCATTGTCTCTGTGTCTGAGCCAGTGGAGTAAATAGTGTCAATGACTTTACCCAGGAAAAAGGGAGCCGACATGGTGACTGCACTGGAGATGGACAAGAAACCTACAGCAGCTGTGTGAATAAAAGAAAACAAATTTTATTTCAACTATGTACTCTATATTATAGTTTACAAGGACATCTTGGATGACTGAACCTAGTTTTAAATACTGTAAGAATGTTAATAACATGGTCAAATATTAATTGTTTTTACAAAGAAGCTGAAGGGGTACCTGCAAGTTTCCATCTCTCTGGGTAGGCAAGTTTTAAAATTCTTCTGACATCTTCCACTGGGACAAGTGATTTTGCCTGGTCAGGTTTTCCATCAGTCTTCTCTGATTCATATTGTGCAAAAGATCTGGTAAAGGCAACAGGTGTGTGGGGGGCAGTCCTGTGTAAACAGACGAATGTGGAACCTCTGTGTTGGCTCCAGGCGGAGGACAGCGGCACTTTCCTGCAAAAGGTCGCGGGGAGCTTTAGGCGGTGGTCAAGCCATAACCGTCTGGAGCTGCCCACTTTCAACTTTGACAAACACACTCCACTGGTCCATTGAATTAAAAATCGCATTTCCAGAGATAAAACAATTCCACACAATAACAAAGTATTTCCTTAGTGACAGTGCTGGATTTGGCGTAGGCGTTGTTAAGACTACTTCCCGCAGGTCCACCTATATTTTGGACTCGAAGTTAGTCTGCACCCATCGTCAGTTCATTGTCGACTTCAGGGCGTTATTATCTGCGACTGACAGCCGTGTGTCAGCAGCATCTCTTATCAGTGTTCCGCGGACATACACCCTACAACACCCTGGCACTGTCATCTGTCTAAGGGGTTAATATATTGTAAACACTACCACACGGATAAAATTACAGCTGCCAAATATCACAAAACATATGTTCAGTTAATCATAAATTACATTAATATGGTACATAACATCATCATAAATAAGAAAAAGGTGACCCTGGTTCAGGAGTTGTCCACATACGACTCCTCGGACGACTAAATTAACGACCGGTGATGTGATGGAAGCAACTTTGTCAGCCATGAGCAATCACACTCAGAGTAAGCGATAGGGTCTGCTGGTCTGGTCAGCTCACAAATATTAAAATCTTATTGTGATTTAACAGTTCTGAAAAAAATACAAGAAATTATTGCATGTGTAGACTAAATTATTATGAGAGTAAGAGTATGTTTTTAAAAAACATACATTTTAAAAAATCCACGATGGTTTTTTGACATCGATTATTGGTTAGTTTTGTCTGGCGATTTAGGGTGAAAGGTAAAAGTTCATCGTGTGTAATAACAGGACACACGTGCAGGTAAAAAGCGCGTTTTCTGTCTTATTTTGGCTTACTCATGTTATTAACTATCTGAACACATGAGGGCTAATTGTAATCCGTAATAGAAACGTCTTGTTAATTGTAAACCTTATGCTTGCGCACAGTTTCAAGTTTAAAATTGTATATTAAACCAGGAGCTAATTGTTGTTAGCACATTGAATTTGATATCATATCGCATGACAACTACTCATCTGCTGTGATTCACATGTTATTTGCCAGAACAATCATAATAATTTGATTTTATCGCACACCACTTCAGCCCTGGTGGGAGCAATGGCTGCCATTTATTCGGGTATTCATCTGAAATTGAAAAGTGCTCAGACTCCATGGGAAGATAAGATAAAGCTCGCTCGTTTTGCCTGGATTTCTTCACAGTGTCTGCTGCCCAACAAAGAGCAGGTAAGTATGAATTATTAACCACACGCGTGCGCTCTTATTGTCAAAATATATACATGTTTCATTGTTTATAGGTCCTGCTGGATTGGTGCACTCATGCTTTGACTGGCTGGTACAATAAGAAAGTGGACTTTCCACAAAATGTGTTGGAGGGCCTGTGGTATTACCTTGATGATCTGCTTCACAGCAGAAAACTTCACTCTTTCCTCAAGCAGGGAAAATCCCTGAGCCTGAGACTCAACATGGCACAGGTGTGATGCATGTTTTAACAGTTCTTGAGATGTGACGTATTAGATTTGGGTTCCTGAGGCACCAGTTGATATCCAGAGTTTTAATAAGTAGCTCATACATTGACACTGATGTACGGTTGTCTGTTTCCAGCTGCTGCTTGATCGTCTTCAAGATCATGGACAGTCCGAAGCAGTGGCCTCAGTGGGTCTGTCCACAGTGCTGAGTGTGTGTCAGGGGATTTTATCCACTCCTGCTCTCTGTTCAGTCTTCACTACAAAGTACGAGCTGATGGTTTCTCTACTGTCTAGGCTCATATCACTGGCTTGTCATCAATTGCAGCAGTTTTCGAGGTTACCAAAGTCTGACCATGAATTAGATATAGAGGTTCTCCAAAGTCACCATGCCTGTTCTGCTGACAAAGAGGACTTTGACATAAGTCATGAAGATAATCTACAAGCACAGTCTAAATATAACCCTAAATCCACAGACAACGTAGCTGTGGATAAATTATTTGAAGTTTTGCTTCATGCTTTGACATGTTACTCATCGGTTCAACGTCAACAAGCTAATCCTAACAGGGTTTTTACTTTAGTGACCAACCAGCTCTTCCAGCCTATGATATTTCTTAGACACTGGCTGTCCCAAGCTGCTCTGTCTTCTTCCACACTGCTGCCAGTGTCTCAGCAGATGTGCAGAGATATCCGTACCAAGATTGACACAATCATCCAGTTAGCTCTTTTTGCACCTGAGCACATGTCTCTCTACCAAGAAGAACTGACAAAGGTGGATTCTGGGAAGAGAGTCTCAGGACCGGCAAAAGGCCCATTGAGGCCAACTACAGTTTTACTCAGTAAATTGACTGTTCAGAACTTTTGTGCACCATCAGTTTACTATGCTGTAAAGTCCAACATTGTGTCAGTGCTGTTCAAACTATTTGTGGAAAGCTATGGGACAGCAAAAGGAGAAAGGAATGAAGAGCAAGGGATGTTGTGTTTCTTTTTTCTTGCTAGTTTGATTGACACCTTAGATTTGGGTCTAGAATCACATTTGTCTAAAAACACAGACATTCAGTGTCCATCTCCTCAGAGCGCCCCCTGCAGGCCTGAAAGCTGGAGCTTGGCTCTACTTGCTGTTGACTCTCTTCTGAACAGTGCTCTTTTAGGTGATATCTACAATGTAGCAGCAGATAGGATTCGACATGGAGAAGTTCAACTGAAGTTTTATCAAAGCCTGGCAGAAATGCTTCTGAAACAGGCTCAACCAAGGTACAATAATATAATGCAAATATTTTTATGTTCATATTTTATTGATGACAAAAAGTGCAGATAAGATTGTCAATAATCTGTCTTTACAGCATTCCAGCATGGTATCGTTGTTTGAAGAATTTATTATGTCTAAATCATGATTCTTGAGAATGGCCTGGAGCAGTTGTTATCACTGGCTTGGGTCAACATGGACAGCACAGACTCAAGAGTGCTACGAGCCAAGCAGGTATAACCTGTTAACCTCAACATAGATTTTTTTTCTAATTTGGGGGTCATTATGAAGATAGGAACTAGTTTTTACCTTTAAGTAATGGTGTGTTACTTGAGTTAAGAATCAGTTTTAATCAGTTCAGTTTATTTAGTTTCAGTCATTTAAAATATATTTCATAAACCATAATTTCACTTAGTGTCACTACCTGTTAAGGATTTAGTATTCAGACACATGTTATAGTCAATTAAATTCTCAGACTACCTAACAGACTACATATTTACATCTGTATTTTTTTTAGAATAGTGCACAGTGATATTTGACTGCATGTCCATGGGGATTGAAGGGGATTATTCTTGTATGCATGCATGTAACTCATACAAGGTTATTTATTTACAGGTTACTGTTTGCAGTCTTCTTCAGACTTATACTAAGCTTCGTCAGATGCCCAAATTTTTTTCAGATCTGTTGTCTGTAATAAGCAAGACAGCCCTGGACCAGCCTAGACCTCCTCTTCTGTCTGAAGAGGTCCTTTCCACACTCAGGACCTGTCTCCTGGACACTCCACCTTCTCAAACAGTTGAGATCTGCTCATTAGTGCTGAACAGCATCAAAAACCATATTCCCCCAAAACAAACAACAACAGATGATATGAATGGGCAAAATGAAGTGGCATTTAATGCAGACTCATCCCTGAAAATTATGTCTCTAAGTCAAATTCTACATTCAGTCTTATTTAGTTTGAAAACACTGGACAATGGCTCCCCTCTCCCATTGGTACGGCAAAGTCAAAAACTTATGGAAAGGATGTATGAAGTAATTAATGAGTTGCAACAACATTTAGCAAAGGTGGAAATGAAAACTAAACCCTCTGTTCAAAAAATACCTAAAAAAGTAAAAAAGGGGCAGAAAACTGTGGACTCCAAAACAAACATGCAGTTCAATCAAAATACAATAGATGCAACTCTGCTCCTTAGATACACCTGGGTGGAGGTGGACACCCTCTTTAGTATCCACTGCTGCAAATATACATCTCTAGAACCTGTTCATCAAGGTACAAGTGCAAATCAAGGCCAAACAACCTCTACTTCTCCCGTAATGGAGTGCATTCAAAGTCTTCTTTCAGGAGAGATTTTTCCCCTGTCAGCTGTGATTGCCAGCAGTCCATTCAGCTCTTTGCTTCTTCGACATCTTGTATTACAACAGATGAAGAGAATATTGTCAGTGCCCTCGATGCTTTCCCAATTTAAGTTCTATGGCTGTTTTAAATCAGGCAGCCCACTTTATTGCTCCTGAGAATGAGATTGAGAAGTGTCTGAGTGTAGACCAGAAATGGGATGGGCAATTATATACTGTGAATGCAAGCTCCTACCTGGTTGCATACTGGTATCTTGTCACTTCAAATTTACCTTTGATCCTGCCCTATCTTGGTGATGAAGATCTTCATTCTTTTGCCACTGTTCTTGTAGGTTCACAGCTTATGAGACCTACACAAGACAAGGACACACTGCCCAACTGCCTGACTGTTTCACTGATATCATCTCAGTTACTTAAAAGCCACATTTTTGCAGAAATACCTAATTTATTTTCCAGCACAGTTCAGTATCTTTTAGAAGGTGTCTTCAAAGTCCTGAGGACAGCTCAACGAAATTTTGACATTTTCCAAAATTCTTCTCAGATACAAAAAGAAATGGTAGTTGAGTTGATATTGGCATCTTTAACAAATGATAAAGCATGTGTGGAGCTTAGCAGTGAGCAGACCAAGGACATACTGAACATGCTCCAAATAGTAAAAGTCTTAAACCCAGATGGGATGAGTTCTGAGGATTTGACTTCTTGTTTCCTCCTCCTCGTCTTCATGCTCACCTCCACAACCTGCCAAACAAAAGAGGACAACAGGGATGACCCGAGTTGTCCTCTGTTAAATGGACTTCTCGAGATTCTGATTTGTCTCTTAGAAGGTTCAAACTTTCCAAGTGTTTTGAAGTTCATTCATGGTGGCACTTTGTTGCAGGCTGTGGTGTCAAGTGTTTTGTGCCACAGCTTAATATCTGCAGAGAATCCAGGCTGGTTCGATTTGGTAAAGAAAATGCAGGCCTTTATTAATTGTTTACTCCAATTAATAATTACAAGAAGCAGCAGTGTACGCCTCAACTTGAATCAGTTTGCCTCTTTCCTTTGCAGTAAGGAAACAACAGACAAGCTAACTGACAGAGCCAATATCTCTACTGTAACAGCCCATGTTTTGCTAGCATCACTTAGTACTTTCTCTCGTACCTTGACCTCTAATTTGGGAAAGAGCAAATCATTGGACGAACTGCTGACTCAAATACTCACACAGACCACAACCACTCTTGGGCTTGCTGTCAAGTCACTCCTAAAGCCCCAAGCAGGCCTAAATGTGTCCAGCATTATCAGTGAAGTTTTGTGGTAGATGTAGTCACTGTTATGTTGAATTGTGAGCTGTCCTTGCACTCAATAGAGGAGAACAAGCAGACCCACTCCATTAGTCATATGCCTCTCTACCAGGGCTCGAGCCTGCAGGTACTCAAAGAAATCAACACTGCTCCCAGGCCCCGAGACTTTTTAGTTTCTTCTCTGCAGTTCCTGTCCACTTTTTATGCTGCTGTCGAAATGATGGCAGAAAAGCAAGAAAATAATAAGGAAAGCAAAGATTTGGATAGCCTCTTTATGACGATACTTCACAATTTACAGAGATTGTTGACAGGTACATACTGTTTTGCATCACACTATATTTCAGTTTAATCTCTTAATGTCTCACCTAAACTGTTGTGATTTTAGGACATTGGATGAGCTCAACTGACCTCCATGACCTAGAGCCTGCTCTGCAAAAGCTCCTGTGCCACCTAGTGGGCAAATGTTCCTCTGAAAGATTTAACCTGATACTCTTGATGATCAAAGGAGGACTGGACATGGGAAAACTTAGAGGTGGAAACTATAGGGTAATTCATTTAGTATTTTATTAGGTAAAGATTTAGTCAAATTTATTTGTGAAGTACTCCCAATGCTCATTCTCCCCTCAGGAGGTGCTTTCCACTGTAATCCTCATTAAGCTGCTGTTTTGTTGTCCATTACCGGAGGCTTGCTTTAATGCGCTGTGGCTCATTGCATCCCAGATTATATCAACAATGTTGGTAAGAGAACACAAACATGACAGATAAAGTAATAGTAATGTTATCAGGTGCTATAGAGGGGGACCACAGGCAAAAACATATTTGGTCCTTAGACAAGGCACTTCACCCACATTGCCTAGTATAAATGCGGTATGTGTGAGTGTTGTTGGTCATTTCCGTGAGTCTGTGCTAGGGCAGCTGTGGCTACAGCTAACCACCACCAGATATGGAGTGAATGAATAATGCTGTGTAAAGAGTCTTTGAGTGTCCAAAAAGGCACTAGATGAACCAGTGCATAATTATTGTGACTTTCACTCAGTTGTTTTCATATTTTATTATTTTTTGCTGCGAGCAAAAGTTCTCATGTTCAGAATGGGTGTAACTACTTTGTCGGAAACTACCACGTGCGGATGGTTTACTGAGGCACATGTTGGCAGCTGTTAAAGGGCCCGTATTACGCTATTTTCTGATCTATATTATAATGTTTCCTCATCAAAAACATACCTAAAGTTGTGGTTGGTTTATTCACACATGTTAAAAACACAAATCCTGCATATTAAGACTGAGTTCTTACTCCATACACCTTCACTAGAGTAATTTTACATTATTTCAGCCCTAAAATTGCCAGGCTCTACTAATGATTGTAATGAAGTTAAAAGGTAGCTGTTAACTTGAAAACTACCACTACAGGACACCACAAGGGGGAACAGAGTATTTTCATCTTTGGAGATGTAAGCAGACTCATAAACCAGGTTAACTCATGTCTGTAAAACATCTGTGAATCAAACACAATAAAGTAACATTATAACATGACTTAAAGCATACAAGGGTTGATTCTGTGTAGCATAGGATCTTTAAGTTACAATATTGATGTAATTAACAAATATGTCCTTTATCTTTTGTATGTCAGTTCTTGGTAAAATCCTCCAGCCAGGACATATCCCTGAACCTTCCTTTCACTGTTCCTGTGGTAGCCACAGTCACTACTTTGCTGCGGCAGGGAGAGGGGGTCATCGCCAACCCTCATCATGTGACTACGGTCCTGGGAGCACTTCAGTGTGTTCCCTTGACCGCTTGGCTCCAGCTGTGTATGAGGTGACCTTTACGGCACTTCACGAGACGTTGTTTGCCATCATCAAGTGTCATCCACAGGTATTTTTAAAAGATAAGTGGGAGGAATATGATATCGTCCATACTGTAAGATTAATGACCGTAGTACACAAGTACACTAGTGAATTGGCTCATATAATTGTCATGTTGCCAAATAATGTAAATTGTAAATTGGCAATTAGATTTTTTTTGCTTGTAGATGACTGACTTCGTGATCATTGGTTGACAGTTTTGAAAGAGTGTGACAATGTGAGAGTGATGCACAGATAAACAGCTGTGATGAATAAAACTGCAAGACTCATTTAATGTTATCAGATGTCTGTGAGGTGAGAAAAGCAAAGCAAATCAAATCAAAAAGGCAATCCTCAAGAGATGAATACATTAAGGAGGAGAGAGTAGTAAGACCTGTGTAATAAAGAGATAAGCTCTTGGGAGTAAAATGTAACAGAACAAAAGGAAGAACAGAGGAGCTTCAAGGCTTGGCAATGAGTATAGGTTGGCATGACATGGATTGAATTAATTGAAAAAAGGCAGCTGAGCTGTTTTCAGGTTTCTGTTTTCAATTTCAATTGCAATAATGTCCTGGAAGTTGTGAAACTTTTACTGAGAATATAATTTGTGTGTTGTATTTTTGTTTGTGGTGTTTGATGGTGTTTGTTGTGTTGTCTCTGCCCCCAGGTGATGCTCAAAGCAGCTCCATCATTTTTGAATGTCTTCTACCGCCTGGTGGCTTCAATCATGCAGGAGGGAAAACAACGGAAAGACAGCGACGCAGGTAACTTCATGGGTATTGAGTGATGTTCAGAAGTATTTTTAGAGCAATAAACATGCTTTTGAAACCCTGTTAAAACATTAGGAAACATAACTTAAGAAGGCATTGCTTAAAGATACATTATGTTACAGTCCCCTCAATTACTTCTCCCGTATATAACTTTCATTTGTATATTTGTATATAATTACTTACATATTCATTATTGATACTGGTAAGATGCTTTTGACTATTAACCATAGACTGTATATATAAATGGACATAGCTAACCCACTAGCTGGCACGCTCATGCATGGGGGCTCTTCCGGCTCCACTGCTCTAATTGACTTTACATTGAAAAATTGTCACCCCTCTCTTTTATAATGACTGCAGTGAGTCTCCTGGTGTTTTTATTTCGCTATTTTGTCTGTAAATAAATTCCTATTCCTAATATGGAACTCCCTCACACTCCCTTAGTCCAGTCTACTAACAACTGAAGTTGGGGGTGGCTCTCATTTTTATGTTTATGTTCTAATTCACAACATTTTCCCCTATCCTTTTTTGTGCAATGTATCCAGACAGTGCTGTTTATCTGCGGTGCTCCATGCTGGTGGAGAGGATGTACTCACACATCGCTGCCACATCTGAGCATTTCACCACTCTGTCTGCCTTCATAGTGGCTCAGTATGTCACAGAGCTGCAGAAGGTACACAAGTTACAGATGGGTAACCATCTTCTACAATTAAAAATAGTTTATAGTAAATCAGTAGCAGTGTGTAGGGTTGTCAAAAATACCCAGCTTCTAATGAATACAAAATGAGAAACACGAATTAAACACATTTGGGCCTTTCCTCAATTGTTTTAGAATGGTCTTGATCTTTTTCAGAACTGTTAAAGACCACTTGGTCATTTTAAAACGTAATCATATGTTTTGTGTTGAAAATTACATTCTATCATCTAAAGAATCTTGATCTCCATAGCCATTCAACCTTGTACATCTGAGTGGGTTCTGGTAAAATAAAGTTTAAATACAATATTTAAGTATATAAGAGCAAAAGACATTGGCCCTTGGCCCTTTTAAAACATTGAGTAATGTCTGGTTTGTGAATACAGCTTTACTGTCACCAAGTATTTTTTAGATGACTCCAACTTGACTCAGCATTTTCCGAAGCAATTACCACTGGAGAGAGAAGCACTAGACTAAAACACAGTAGTTGGTTAGAATGAAAAAAGGAAGGAATATTTTTCAGTATTCAACATTAACTCAATAACCTCATTAACTAACTACATTAACTAACCTATATTTAATTTCTATGTGATAAATGAGTGTCTTGATGGTCATTCTGTCTCTTTAAAAGGTTACTCTGCGACCAGACGTTAAACTGCACCTGACCGAGGGCATCTATATGATACTGGACCTATGTTTGGAGCAGGATATCAAGTTTCTGATGGCTGGGCTGCAAACAGGAGTGCGAGAGGTGTTCAATGAGCTGTACAGCAGCTACAATCATTATCACAAAACTCAGAGGCAAGGAGAGGAGAAATATACTGTGTGAACTGTGATGCGTGATACGAATGTAACTTTTGTTTGGGGAAAAAAATCACTGCAATCTGTTCTAGACAGAAGACACTCTTGTAATATTACAGAATATTTGCTAGATGCATATATGGATTTACAAACTTGTATTAACTTTTGTTATACCCAAATGGTGTAAAATGTTGTAATACATGTCATAATATAGTACTAAGGTGCTGTTAATCAGATCTTAAAAATCCAATTGTGATTTAGTTTATAAAAAATATTTGAAGTCAAGACTTTTCTTTAAATTGAAGTCACGTATTTTCTTAATTTGCTCATTTGTTGGCCTTCCCACCATCTCTCTCCTTCAATTTCACTTCATCCATTCTGCTCTGGTCTAACATTACTGTAGTAGGTAACATAAATACATCCAAACCAGTGCAGAAGGGAATAAATGTGAGTCTGTTCATGTTAATACCGCTGGGACATTCTTTCAGCAGCCAAATAAAATGTGTATTTATAGAATCTACATATGAGCTATGTAAATCTTAGAGCCCTGTTTAAGCAAAGCAAAGAGGAGCTTAGAGTTTAGTCTTCCACAAATAAATGTAGGTGGCTACATTTGCTGAGATTGTATTGTATTCTAGTTATGAGATGCTTTTATAAGTGATAAAGGTCTAAATGATAGTTGTACTGTGTACTGTTTTATTTTTTTTTTCTAAAACGTTATTTTCTCTTGGTCTTGTTATACACATCTATAGCACCTGAAACTAAAATTAGAACTATAAGTAGCAAGTGAAATGTTTGCAACGTTCAGTCAGCAATTACAGAGTAGTTTTATCATGTGGGCCCACAACTGGGCTGAGGTGATCTGAGTGAAAACCACTGACTGTTTACTATTTAAAGAAACTCCCCTAAAACAACCCATTGAAAAATCTTTTTTTTTTTGTGGCGCCTCTAGTGGTGAATTTCATCAAAACATAAACCAAAAAATTATGGATCTCTGTGATCATGGTTTTGGGGTAGCCTGTTCCCACATAGCTAAAATTTTACAACAGTCATTTCCTTCAAGAGTGTCCCCACCCCCTCTGCACGGCTACGGCGCACCGCGACGCACAACCACTGCCAGCGATCGACTCGCCGCCCGCTCCGGCCCTCCTCCAGAGCTGCCTGAGCCGCTGTTTGATTGGATTACGGGCGGCTAGCCTTTGCCCTCTAACCCCGCTGATGTTGGCTCGCTGCTTCCTGCTCCTTTCGTTATCCTGACCGACTGTCGAACATCGCCGAAGCCGCACTGGGAGGCGCTCTGCGCGGACACCACCGACAGCCCGAGCCGCTGTAGCGCAGCCAGACTTTAGCCCACAGGAAGCCGCCAAGCAGACACGAGCACAGGGACATAAACTGGGGCAAGCATGCGGAGGAAATCGAGGATATTGTTATGTTTTGCGGTGCTCTGGGTCTTGGGGATAGCCTACTACTTCTACTCGGGGACAACGTTGAGTCGGAAGGTAGGTTTCTGCTGCTCGGCTGCTCTTGTGTTGTCTCTCGGTGTGATGAGATTTCTCTCCTCGGACAAAGCGAGTATGGACCCCCTACATCTCCTTTTAACCATCGCTGCTCAGCTCAGACATCACCAGAGAGAGGAGCGCGATAAAGGCCCCGCTAGTACCAGTGGACACGCATTGATTTGGTGGGGATGAGAATGGACAAGGGCAGTGGGGAAGTTGGTTTGGCCGGGCAGCGTGCACCGAGCTCCCGCTGTGCCGGTGATTGCCTGGCCGTATAGCAGCCATCTCCACACCGGGGCCGCTCTTGAACCGCTGAAATGTTGTATGTCCCGTTAATGTGATAATAGTTAGAGCTACGGTAGTCCACAGAGCCTGGTATGTGGCTGCTGGCCTGGCTGAGGGGCCGGTGTATCTGAAGAGCACGTCAGCACAAGCCGCTCCTGCCTATGAGAGAAATAAGGAAGTACAGATTACAGCTCTCATCAGTATAAAGCTGTGGTCATTATTTAAACTGAAATGACAGTCAGATCTGACAGCAAGGATGCTATGCCAAATGTCATGCCTCTGTTAAATCCTATTAGGTTGTCACTGTAAACTATATTGATCAGCCTTAGGCTATTCATCCATAGGCTTATTTAAACTGTTAAGATCAGGAATTTTGTTGAAAGGTACCCAAACAATTAAACTCAAATAGGCTGTAACTACAGAGATAACATATAGGCTAATCTTCTTCATAAATTAACATTATTGGGCCACAAGAACCTGGTAAAACTGATAGAGATCCAAGATTAACAGAGAATATGTCTTAATAATAATGCCATCCATGATTGGATTTAATTTGATGGAAACCTGTAGCTTATACATAACATAAGCAATACCGACCTGTATGATACATCATTTAAGAAATTATTTATTTTCATGTAAAGGTTGTCTGTATGGTCAAAGTTATCTATTGTCTATTCTGTGCTATGTATCAACATACTTGACAGGACATCTGAAATGTATGTAGGCCAATGTCCCCTGCTGTGTGTGCATGTCTTGTTGTGGGTGGTTATGTACAAACTGGTTCCTATGATGGCTACCCCTCTGAATTTGGGAACAGCGTTGGTGTACTCCACCTGCTGCTAAGATCCGTGTTAGCCTTCCAGTGTTTGCTTTCCTAGAGTCAATCCCAGCAGACCCATCACTCCTCCATTAGCCTGATAGCATTATCTGTATGTTTGTGGCTGTCACGAGGGGTCAGGGGACATGTACTGATTGCTGCTTTCTCTAACTGAATTTGACAGGTCCTCAGTCTTCACTATAATAGTAAAATAAAACTGCTCTATTCTTGCATTGAATACAGGTGAGATGTATTGAAAAATGAAACAATGCAACGCTTGTTTTGGCAATAGTCCACATTAGAACACCAAGCATAATAAAATACAACTGATTTTGTAATATTTCGAATAACCGCATCAAGTCTTGTTTATGCACATCTCAGGTTAATTTTACAGCCCATTCCCATTTTGTGACAAATTTAAACTGCCATGCTTTTTTAAGCACATTGATTTCTGATTAATTGCTATAGTATTGTCTGAATATTGTCATCAGGAAATCACCTGAAATATACTTTTACATTTTGTCAATATCCTGCATCAGTCAATTAGATTATTTAGTCAACTTTTCAATTTCATATAGATTCCTAAGCTTTTTTGTTTAGCCTCTATACATTTAGTTGGTTGTTGTTTTAGTCTGAGAGCGCAGTATTATTTCTCTCCCTTGCACCTCAAATGTTAGTTGTATATATTGAGAAGAAGTCCACTGTGACTTGATGCTTTTGGCTTTAATTTAGTGTGTGAGTGTTTGTGTTTGGGGTTTGGTTATTGTTTCATCAAGGAAGGTGTTAAAAGCTCTCCCAAAATTACACAGCTCAAATGAAAATCAAGTTGCAAAGTATTAGAATTTGAGTTTTGACATGTTATTTATGAGATAAGATTTAAATTGCTAATTGAAAGCCTATTCATTTCCAAACATATTTGTGGAGGTCTAAACTACAGGGTTAGCAAAGCACAGAGTATTTTGTTGTTGTAGTTAACATTATGTTACCTAAATCATCATCACAGTTATTTAGATTTGATTAATGGAAAAATTAAAATTGCGATTATGTAGAAAGCTTATTGTTACTTCTCAGCAGATAATTCCTAGTAGACAGTCCTAGTTTTATTTTGGAGGTGATATAAGTGTTGTGACTGGTGTCTTCTGCCAGATCCCAGCGCTCCTCCTGTTCATCAGAGCGAGGAAATGTGAGTGTGTTGTGGCCAGAGGTTTAACACACACACACACACGGCTCAGTGGGATTTGGATGTGCAGCTTTGCCCTGTCCAGCCTCTTATCTGTAGCTTTAGGCATCCGCTGCCTGTCTGTGCATGTCATTTGCTCTTTATCAATGCAGAATTGTGGCATCCAGACATGCTGATTTTTACTGTTATGCATTATTAAATCCATTGAGTGAGTATCTTGTAGAGCTGCTCAATTACAGCAAAAACTATCACAAATATTTGGCTCAGCTTTGAAATCATACATTTTTTTTCGAACTATTACTTCTATTGTCAAAACTGTAAAAAGAATAAACCTCATATATTTTATTATTAGTAATGATGACGTATCAGCAAAGCTCTGTAGTGGTTTTGCTCTACTTGGCAGGATAGGACAAGTGTACATGTAATTGTAGTTAATTGTATTTTTAAATATTTAAAGAATGCAGATTTTTCTCAAATCTAATAGGGCAATAATTCAAATCATGATAATACATCTGGTTCATTTTAATAGCCCTAGAATCCAGTGTTTCTTGACTAAACCAAGATTATTCAAATCTGTAAAATAATGTCATAAGTATTTGGGTCTTCCTTTAGGTGTATAGGCAAAAAATCTTTCCAACTTAAAACCACATAAGCGGTGATTATTTCAAGAAAAAGGAACAAATTTTGTCTATAGACTCAAAAGAAAGAGGACAAGGATTGGCTTAAACCTGACTAACTAGAAAATTCACTCTTCCTTAAAGATCATTGTACCGACTTGTGGAGAAAAACATGTTTCACAATGTCGTCATTTGAAGAAAAAGGTTTGTTTCCATTAGGACGTGTGTAAAACCAGCACAGCAGCTTGTGTTCACTAAAAGCTTCTCACTTTTCAAGTATTTTCCCACAAACTATTCAACCAAATTCTTAGAAATTCTGAATGTGCAAGGATTATTGTTAAAACCAATCTCACAGTGAATTCATACAGTGATGCTGAAAGTAGATTTAAGGAGCAGAAGCTGACTCAGCTCTAATGGGTGACTGACAGAACAGTGCAGTGGCCTTATTTAACAAAATGCTGACACCTTAAGAATGCCCTCCTCGTTGAGAACCTCATTTATGACATCATATACGGCCTGTAAGGGAAAATTCACCATTTCATTTGCACATTGTTTAGATGTATAACTATTAACACAAACAGAGCAGAAATGCTGAGCAGATACGTCATAAGATGATGTCTAGGTGGTTAAGACTCAGCAGCATGAAGCTGGAAAAACTGCATCATATCCAATAAAAAGTCTCCTGAGGCTGCAAAACTGCACTGTTGTTAAAAACAGCCTCCCAGGGCATAGCCCCGTTTGCTTCAAACGCATACATTTAATACGAAGGGGAAAGTTAGTATGACCCCTAATTCTTATTAGCCCATGGTACATGATCTCCTTTAAGCCAGGCTGAAGATGCTTCAGGTGTGTGTGTGCGTGCGTGCGTGCGTGTGTGTGTGCGCGTGCGTGCATGCGTGTGTGTGTGTGTGTGTGTGTGTGTGCGCGTGCGTGCATGTGTGTGTGTGCGTGTGTGTGTAACTGCATGCATTTACATGTGATTTACAGCACATTCTCACACCCTTCTGTCGAACAGTTTTAATGAATCAGTACTTAGGTTTGAAATGGTTAATTGGTTGACACAGGCAGATTACTTTCACAAACATGGTTCATTGTAATTGCGTCCTTTGTTTTCTAGCAAGAGAAATAGAAATTTGACCTAAATATGTCCCAAACCCAAAGTCTGAAAAATCACGGTTATAAAGAGAGTGAAAGACTATCACAATCCAAGCCAGCTTCGCCCTAATGCCTTTTTCAGGGTCCATGCGAGTTCTCCCTTAAAAGGTACGTTTGATTTATCTGTGCTTTCAGCGCAGAGGGGGGAGCACTTTTGATTGTGTCAGACTCCATCAGGACTGTGGCTAAGAATAGCTAAAATCACCTAATGTCTCACTCTGTTTTTTTTTCAAAAGAGCTGTCCCATGATTTTAGTGTTGTGTCATACAGGACTTCAGAGTTTGTGATGTGAACTGCTTTTAACAAGTGATTAAGAGTAAACTGGTGCTATTGTCCAGTATTGTCCAGTATTGTACTTTCCTTAAGTGTCCACTGTCCATTGAGGTATTTGAATATTGTATAAGCTCTGTCCTGCTGTATGCTTCTGACAAACACTATGCGTTTGTTGTTCATAATTAGAGCTACTGATGCCCTTGGAGTTCAAAGGTCATTCATTGCTTCCTTCATGCTGCCTGTGAATCATTGCCCATTGGAATCAACTGTGTCACACTAATTCAAATGTGTCAGTACAGAGAGATTGACTGGCACCATGGGAGCTGTCATTCTGTCGTCTAATTCCCTGATTTGCTTCAGTTGTTGTAAAATATCTATCTACTGAAATTTTCAGACAAAAAATATAAAAATGTGTGATTGTTCACCTTATTTCAAGACTTTATTTTATAGGTGCACTATGCAACTTCTCATAGGGGGTGTGTTATCTGTGTTATTGTTTAGCCTTGCATGTTGCATAGTATGGCATTAAATGCATCTACCTAGCACATTTTAAGTGTTTTTTTTTTCAAAGTGGCTTGAAAAATGTCCGAATATGACCTGTAAATTTGTCACCTGGAAAGAGCTAGAGAAGTAAAACTAAGAACATCTCCTTTTTGTTTTTGGTTATGTTATA